CCCAGGGGGGATGGTCACGCCACAATCCCTTCTCCTCCATTCTCCTCTCAGGATCTTGGGCAGGCACGCACACGCGCCCGGCGTGAGTTTTAAGCCACCAGGTCCGGGATGCGAACCGCGGTCGACTACATGGGAGTCCAGCGATATAGCCATTACACTAACTGTTGGTTCCCCATACCTTTTTAGAAACAGTTTGACAATTTATGAAGTCAAAAATGTTTTTAAACTTGATTAGCCAAGTATTTTCTTTGTCCAGACTGCGGCTTGTGGGAGAGACAGGTTCCAGACACGGCACTGAGCAGAACGTTTAGGTGGCTCTGCTGTGGTAACCTCCGCCTCACCCTAGCCCCCCCAGCCCCAGGGACTTTGTGTCCCCCATCTCAGACCCCATCCTACCCTTCACCCCTCCTCACCAGCAGGGAACCGCCCGCTGCAAGTCTCACATTCTGCTGTGAAGGGCTGCCTTTCTACATGCCCTCTCCAGAGAGTAATTGCCCTCTGAGCCATGCCTCTCATGGTGAATAAGGGGACTCTTCCCAGACAATAGGAGACTCAGGTCTCAGCAGAGGGCGGGGGTGTGATGGGGGTTTGGGGTGGAGGGGATGGCACGTGAAGGAACAGTGGCCCTTGTCCCAGGGGTGCAGAGGCCTGGAGGGTAAGGTAGGACCAAGAACCGGGAGGCCATCCCTGCAAGCCTCTCTTCCTGAAGCTGGCCCCTTGGATCAGCTGATTCTGCCTTGAGTCCTCAGGCCAGGGTGAGGAGCTAGGGAGAGGAGCCATCCTGCTACGGGGTCTCCCGCAGTCTGCCCTCCCGCTGTGACGCACCACGCATGTGCCTCTACCCAGGTGGCCCAGGCACTGAGTGCAGGCTCGCAGGGCTCTCAGGGTTTCTCTGTTCAAAGGAAGTAACCAAGCAGTGACTCGAACCCACTCCTCTCCAGACGACTGGCACGGTCAGGGACCAGCGTCTTTTAAGCATGTGCTGTAGACCGTAGTGCCACAACATGCTTCTGTTCGGGAATGCCTTCAGTGCCTTCACATCAGGCTGCCCAAGAGCAGGGCCCGTGTAGTCACAGATGATCAAAATCAACCCTCATGACAATCTCTGCTACAGAAAATTTCCCTCTCAGGAAAGTCTTAGAGGGGAGACTAAAAATGACGGAACTGTAGAGGGAAAACTAAGTCCTGGAGTATGGCCTTCTGGATGCATGGACCTCAGAGAATCCTGGCTGTCCCACTCATCTGGCACCAAAAGCATTTGCTGTGCTTCTCTATTCGGGAAGTTGTGGCTTTCTTTGAATTTCACTTCCTTTTTCTGACTTTGTTCCTCCAGAAATCACAACACTCAGAAATGCTTCCAAAAATGTGAGCCAGATGAGCAACGAGATTGACTAATTTAATCTCTGAAGAGACGTGCAAGCTCAGAGGAGAAAAGCTTAAACCAGACTGTAGGGGAGGCCCTTGCTTCAGCGAGAGGTCCTGGCTAGGTGAATCATTGGCTGGCTATCTGGGTAGAATAGAAGTGATGGGCCAGCTCCTATGTGGCCAGGGACGCGAATTCCTCGCCCATCTGTTTACCTTACTCACCGTCACTCAGACTTGTATTAAGTATCTGCCAGGCCCTATTCAGGGGACTAGGGACACAATGGCAAAAGAGACAGACCCTTTCCTTGAGGAATGTCAAGTCTAGTGGGGACACCAACAAGGCAAAAAGCAAGTATAACGAAGTGAGTTAAGCCAAGCAGAGGTGTCCAACCTAAGGCGTAATAGAAGCACACAGAGGAACACCTGACCCGAGCCTGCAGAAGCAAGATAAAGCCTCCTGGAGGAAGTGTGGCCCTCGCTAAAACTGGCTGATGTCGGGCTTGCTTGGTGGTGCAGTGGTAAGATGCTGCTCAAGTGATGCTGGATCCATATGAAGGTTGAGGGTTTGGTTCCCTGGTCGACCTGGAAACTCTGGGTGCATGTGCCCATCCATGATCCTGGCTGGGAGGTCTGGGCAGTAGGAGGATTGCACATGACAAAAATAAATAAATAAACAAACTTAAAAAACAAAACAAACCAGACTTACAATGAAGTATTAGGGAAATGTATTCTAGGCAGATGCAAAGGCCTGAAGTTGACAGAGAGACCAAGCAAGAAGTTAAGTGGATGGGCCTGATGTCATGCAGATGCAGAGGGGCAGAGCCAGGGCTCATGGAGTTGGGAGTTAGTGTTCATTTTTTCTTTTAAAGAATCACTCATTTAATTTTATTTCTTAATTTTTTTTTTTTTTAATTTGATCACCAAAGAGAGACAGAGAGGGAAAGTGAGAAGGCAAGCTGCTGGGTCTGGGATTTGATGCTGGCCATGTGGGAGTCCAACGCCCCAACCACCATGCCACCTGCTGGCCCCAGGAGTTAGTGCTCTTAACTGCTAAGCCCTGCTGTTCCCTGACCGTCACCTCACTGGACCCTTCATCGTGCCTTACCTGTATCTGCGGCAAAAATCAGGACGGGAGCGAAAGAACCTGGAGAAGGGCTCCCTCTTCACAGCGGGTCTTCGCTCCTTTTGCCCCCACTGGGATTCCTGAAGAGCCAGCCTTGAAGGTTCTTTTCTCAAGAGCTTTCCTGGAGGAGTGGAGAGGCTCCATATATATGTGGAAGTCACCAGGCCTGTGAAAGAGTGAGTGTGTTTTCCCCACCCCACTCCCACAGGCCTCCTTCACAGGAGCTTCCTCCCCTGGAAGATCCCTCTCCCGATGACCCACCCTCTGCTCATTTTCATGTGATGTGCAGGAAGGAAAGAGGAGGCGTGGCCTCGAGAGCTACAATGTCTTCACGAATCACTGGATGCTCCCATGAAAAACACCACGCCCGCTGTTCTTCCCAAGTGACAACACTTTTCCACACGCCAGCTGCTCCTCTCCTCATGTCTTGACCCTTGGCCGAATCCCTGCTCTTTGGAAGAACAGCATTGAGCCGTGGGGCCAGGGTCACTGCTCTTTGCCCTAGCTGGCTCGCTGCGGTGCATGGCTCCTGTAACAGCCTTCGAGCTTTTGTATTTAAGCCCCAGCTACCATCCTCTTGTTCCACAGTCACACCAAACTACTTAGCACATTAAAACAATTATTTATTTAATTTTACTTACTATTATTAATTTTTTAAAATTTGCTATAGGGCATGTGCACTTACCAGAGATGGAAAGAGCAAGAGAGAGAATGTGAGAAAGCAAGCCACCAGGTCCTGGACTTGAACCATGGTCTGCCATGTGGGAGTCCAGCGCCTTAACCACCATGCCACCTGCTGGCCCCATGCTGTGCATTTTGTGGTGCTCTCTTTATAGGATAGTATGATCCTTTTTTGACAAGTTTTGTTTTGATTTTTTTTGTTTTGCTATAGGGTGCATGCACTCATTGGAAAGAGACAGAGAAAGTGAGAATCAGCCCCTAGCGGGTATGGTCACACCGGAATCCTTTCTCCTCCATTCTCCTCTCAAGATTTTGGACACATGCACATGAGCTGACTTCTGACAACTTTCTACCCAAGATTCAGCACATGACCCAGCCTCCATAGCATAGTGGGGAGCTTCCCAGACTGAAGTGCTGCAAGCTACGTGATCAACCCTGGGTCAGCCCCCGCCCGTCATTATCCCTCGTGCCCAGTGTTAACTTCCTTTTACACGTTTATCACCATCGATTCATTTTTGACTGGTGTGTGTGTGTGTGTGTGTGTGTGTGTGTGGTGGTAGTATTCAGACAGGGTCTTGATGTGTGACAGCCCTCCTGCCTCAGCCTCTCCAGTTGCTGGGAACCACAGGTATGTGCTGCCACACCCAACTACTTCTTGACTGTGAATTTTGTATACCTGGAATCGTACAATATCTCTTGTGAGTCTTTTTTTTTTTTCACTAAATATTCTATCTGTGAGGTTCATCTATTATGCAATTCACCCTTTTTTTATTGCTGAGTATTCCAATGTTCACTCTTGATGAACATTTAGATTATTTTCAATTTTTGCCAATTATAAATAATACTACTATAAATACTCCCCTACAAATCAGTTTAAGGAACTACACTCTCATTTTTCTAGGGAATATATGTAGGAGTCCGACTGCTGCTGATTCATGAGATAGATGAACATTTAATTTTGGTAGATTGCCAAACAGTCTCCCAAGTGATCCTACTAGTTTACACACTCATTAGCAGTGTATCCTCCTCCTATTTTCTTTTCTACTTCTTTTTCTTCTCTTTCTTCTCCTTCTTCATCTTTTTAAAAATTTCTGTTATAGGGTACATGCACTCACCAGAAAGAGAGAGAGAGAGAGAGAACATCCCTTAGGGGGAACAGCCACACTGCAAAACCTTCTCCATTCTCTTGGAATTTTGACCTGCATGCACATGCGCCTGGTGTAGTTTTCAAGCTGCCAGGTCCAGGACTAGAACCATGCAGTCAACCATGTGGGATCCAGTCACTTTGACCATCACACCACTGCCTGGCTCCCTGGACTTTACTTATTTTATTACTATTATTATTATTATTTACATTCAATTCCTATACATCATTTAGCTTGTAGAGCAAATTTATCCAACGTGAAATCCATGTCAGACTAGTCCAGTTGGGAATACTATACACTAGTTATCAACAGGTAATAAACCATTTCTGTGTCTCACAAATGTCTTACTTCTCTATTTTTCTCCCTAATTTCCTTCCCTATTCTCTTCCCCTCTCCACTCTCCTTCCACACTGTCTCCAGTGTTCATAATTACTTTCAGTGCTTGTATGCCCTCCAGTCTTTCAGTCTCTACCACAGAGCACGGATAGCTGGTATATGTTAAGTGGAGACATACAATGTCTTTCATAGCCTGACTCGCTTCACTCAGCAATAAACCTTCCATAATTCTCCACTTTCTATCAAATGACAGTGTCCCAGACCTTACTCCTAATGGTGAAAACTAGTGAGAAAATCCTTGATGAAATTCTCTTTGGCAATTTCAATGAGTTCATGGAAAAAACATGATTTCTGTGCAAAAAATTTTGAAGTCCACTTAAGTTTTTTCATAGTATGCATTTTCTATATATCCCTAGCATATATGAGAAGGGATAATTATGACAGACTATCACAGTTTAATTCTTTTAAATTATATATGAGCTCTCTATATAGATGTACCTATATCTATAGTTTATCGGCATTAGCTTTACATATATGTATAATATACAATATAATATAATAAATATTATATATGATAAATACTATAATATATAATATATATTTATATAGCTATATAAAGCTAAAACTGGTGGACAATTATTGAAAAATTAAAGAGCTAGAATCCAGCTTTCATTTTGACTGTAAAAGGCACTCACTTAGAACTTAAACTTGGATCTTTCTGAAAAATTGAATTTTGATAGAAGATACTAGGCTGAGGACTTTCAAAGCTTTATAAGAAATATTTATTCACCTTATAAAACACACTTTTGAACTATTTCACTGGGCTCTTACAAAAGTAAAAAAATAAATGTTGGGTTATCTTCATTATACAGATAAAGAGATTATAGCCCCAGGAAATTTGATGTGCTCAGAATAACAATGAATGGAGTTTGGAGAAATGATCCTACCTCATCGAACTACACCATTTGGCACGTTGATGCTTGAGTTATTTATTTTTTAGCCCAGATCCCAACTATCTTAAGGTATTTATTCTTGGAGACGCTATGATCTGTCAGTACTTGAGAGACCTGGGCCTCAATACTGGCTATAGATACTTATTAGCTATGAGAATGTGGGTAGTTTTACTGAGCCTCAGCTATGAGCCTGTTTTTCAATTATAGAATGATGCCTCTCTAGCAGCTGGCAGGTGGCATGGTGGTTAGGGGCACCTAGCGGCTGGCAGGTGGCATGGTGGTTAGGGGCACTGGACTCCCACATGGCTGACTGTGGTTTGAGTCCCGGACCTGGTGGGTTTTCTCACTCTTCCTCCCCCCATCCCACCCCCATCTCTCTCTCTTCCTCTCTCTCTCTGCCCCTCTCTGGTTAAATTAAATAAATAAATAAAAATAATTCTTTTTAAAAAAAGGAATGATGCTTACCTCACAAATTAAAAAATTAAATAGCATTAATGGCATAATGGTTATGTCACTGGACTCCCAAGTAGTCAGTTGTGGTTTGAGTCCTGGACCCTGTGGCTTAAAACACAGGCCGGGTGCATGTGCATGTGCGTGTGCGTGTCAAATCCTGAGAGACTGCAGAAAGGATTGAGGCATGGCCATGCTCCCCTAGAGGTTGATTTCTCACTGTCTGTCTGTCTCTCCAGTGAATGCACATGTCCTATAGCAAAAATCTCTCTTGAACAAAAAAATTAAGTAAGATCCAAAATACCTAGAATGGGTTAGTTCTCTATTCTTGGATCTTAGGATAGCAAAGGGGCTTTTACATGCAATGTCAAAATGCCCGTTATATTTGGGCAATTAGAATAACTGAATGGCTGTCAGACACCAGATTTTTAGACAATACCTCTATTCCCAACTCAATGGCTTATCTAATGGCTGACAGACTCAGTATCATTAAAATCGTGGTTGTCACACTTAGCATGGGTTAATGATGGCAGTTATGGGTCTTTGCTGCTTATTTATGGTGATTAATTCAGTCATTAATCTTACAGACAGACACTTAAATTATATACTTGTGATAAATATGTTTAAGTAAGGCCAGTGCTAGGTCAGTTTCATCACTCCTTGTGATAAGCCTTCTGAGGCCTAGCCCTGACTACGAAAAAACTAAAGCATTACCTTTTCACAGATGTATTAATAATCTCAGAATTAGTTCTTACTTCGTTGGTATTATTTGTGAGGAGGATCAAGTAGCAGCCTGAGGGCACAAAATACACATTGGACCTGCAGTGCCCAGTATGCCATAAAAGGCTTGAGAGAACAGGATAGGCAGATGTTCCATTCTGGAGAACATTGTGTGATCCGGGGTGGGAATTGAGCAAGGAATAGAGGAAGCTGAGAAAATGGAATTCACTGTCCGAAGGGAAAAGCTGATATAGCTGGACAACCAGGCCAGCTGTTTTCCAGTCTTCTTCAGATAAGTGACAGACTGCTCAGCCTCTGTGGGTGGGGTCCCACCTAAGGTGACAGCTGACAAGAGAGCATATTTCCTTACTTGGAGTTAGTGGAGAAAAAAGGAAGAGAGAGCATGTTGAAAGAGCTGCCATTTATACTAGTCCACTAAAGGGGAAGTTTTGTTTTCCGTTAAGTATAGAAATATTGCAAACTTCAACCTACTCAAATTCAGCTTCTGTCTCCAACCTTGTTCTGCAACTATTCTTGGTCTCCAGTGACATGTAATAAACACTTGGCTGTCCTTACTAGACCCGCAGGCAGCATTGGGGATAGCTGGCCACTTGGTCCTTCTTGAACACTCTTAGTCCCTTGACACTGTTTTTCCTTTCTTTACTGACTGGAGGTCCTTGATTGGGTCTCTTCATGGTGGTGATCTCTAAAGCCCAGCTCTGGGCCCTCTTTAACTGTCTCCTTGGTGGGACCAGCAGTTAGCGTAATGGCTATGTCACTGGACTCCCACGTAGTCGACCACGATTCAAGTCCTGGACCTAGTGGCTTAAACTCACGCCAGGCGCGTGGGCGTGCGTGTCCAAGATCCTGAGAGGAGAATGGAGAAGGGATTGCGGCGTGGCCATCCCCTCGGGAGGTGATTTCTCGCTTTCTGTCTCTCTTGTCTTTCTGCCAAGCGCACACGCCCTATAGCAAAAACCTCTCCAAAAAAAAAAAAAAACAAAAACCTCCCCAAAAAAAAAAAAAAAAACCTGTCTTCTTGATGACCTCAAGTCCCTCAGCTCCAGTCCACTGCTCCTCCAAGTTTCACTCATATGTCCAATTTCCTCTATTACACTTGCATTGGAAGTGCACACATTTCAGAAGATTCCTTCCCCTCCTTCCCCACCTCAGTAATGTTACTGCTGCCTACCTACTAGCCAGAAATGGGTCAGTCTTTTCCCTTCTTTCCTCGATAATCAATCCAACAAGTCCTTGAGTTCTCACCTTCAAAAATGCATCTCTACGATACCCACTCTTTC